TTTAATATACTTGTATACACATTTTAAATGTTAATCAACAAATTGGACATGCATATTCAAATATATACTGATTTGCAACAAACTTCAGCTGTGGTGTCTGTCTTTCTTGAGTAGTCTACACATTGGCAGTTTAGTACCAATGATTCCCTGACCAGGAAAATGATGCATTAACATTTTACATACACATGGATTCAAGGCAGCTTAAACCTCTGCTTAACCCTAGAACATTTTTTTTTTTTTCCTCCACCCAAGCAAATACATTTACATGATTTCTCTCTCCTGCAGCTGTTGGCATGTCGAGGAGACTGTGCCTTAACCAGGGAAGTCTCAAATGTCCCAGGAATGGGTGGATCGAAGACCAGCTTTCCAGTGTGAATAAGAATATTCTTTAATTCCTGCTTGTTTTTCTGTAATTTTAAGACCTATTGACCTGCTTGAAATTTGCAAAGAACAGTAATTGCAAGAATGTAGGCATTAAACCCAGAGATGGTAATCTAGGGTTTTGTTTTTGATTAGCCCTTTTTGGAGTTCAGACATTTAAGTTCAACTTGGTCAGTAACAGGAAAACTTTGAGCAGATAGTTGGGGTGCACATAGTGTTTAATTAGCTTTTCTGAGCAAACATGATGACCCCTTTCTCCTCCCATCCTATGAGAAATATGGTCAACACTGATATGTTCATACCTCAGTTTACTGGATTTAAATTTAAACTCTTTACACTGCCATGGCAAATCATGTTAGCTTTCTTCTACAGATGTATGCAATTAGAGTGAAGTTAATCAGAGTTGAATGAACAGCAGCTAACTGTATTTTCTCTTTAGCCCATGAAGAGATCGAGGGCTGAGCAGGGTGTGACAGAGTTAAAAACACTTATCCAGAATTCTACATCAAATGACATTTACTACACTTCCTCTTTCAGTAGCCTAAAAATCATTCTTGGCCGAATAAAATTTTACTTTAGTAGACAAACACCGTTTGAGGATGAAGATGCTGATCAGCTGTTCTGGAGTGGGAAACTCCCATCAATTAACTTTTTTTTTTTTTATTATTCTTTTTGGTCCAACAGTAGTAACTTACAGAAAGTCAAAATAAATGAACAAAATGGAAAAATGCACAATTATTCCATTTAAAAACAAAATGCACACTGTCTTGTCTTATTATGGAACTCTACACTCAGTTCTACTGTACCTGCAAATATTTTTGGTGGCAATACTCATAACAGCTTTCTGACTTTGTTTTCAGACAAGCTGTCTTCTAACAGCAAGTTTATGAGTGAGCTCAGACCAGCAAATAACCGTTTACAGACATGCTACATAAAATACTTGCAATGGAGACTACAATACCCAAGTATACATTAACTGTAACCATAACTGAATTAGAACTTGATGTCTAATTCAGTGGAAAACATTTGCTAAAGGACAATAGCGTCCACCATTGCTCAGGTAGGTTGTATACATATTCAGTGTGGCAGAGCAGAATACATTGCACATGGTAAACAGTCTAAAGTTAAGCTTAAACTTAACATTGTTCAGCTGTGTATTTCTATACATCTGGGCACATTAATGACCTTTAAAACTGGAGAGATCACCAGCAGAGGAGCCACTGCCATCAGCAGCTATGCGCAAAACTCGATCCCAAGGGACTCTACTATTTTATCACTTAAAATGTGTGAAATTTCCAGGCTTGCATATGGAAGTGTAAAAATGTGCTAGTCAATTTTCTGCTTATCTAATCTATTAAGTGCAGTGTACTTGCAAGCATGACCCTAGAATAGTTAGTCTGGTCTTGGCGTGATTTAAGGACCCTGAGTCTTGTAACCAGGGAACTCGGATACAGTGCATCCATAAACAAGTGTAGATTCTTCTTAAACTAGAGGGGAGTTGATCTGTAAAATTGGTATTTTTGAAGATGAATGCCAGCCTGGGCACAATAGAAATTTATCCTTTCAACTGTTTCACCTGGTCTCTTTCAGAGCTGTTTTCATCAGCGTGGTAAGTTATTCCTTGTTCCTGGGATCTGCAGTGTTTTCAGGATTGTGCCTCTTTCTATAAGCACTGTCACGGCCTTTTATGTTCCAAACACCAAAAAAGTCCAAGAAAAGGCCGTAGGTGGCAACAGGTGGTTTGTTTTAGAACGCACTTCTGACTCCATTGTTTAAAAAAATCATATGGCGTTTATTTCGTGCAAAATTATAAACAAAAATCAACCAAATAATTTCTTAAAACTTAAAATTAAACGAAAGTTAACTTAATTTCCTTTAACAACTTCAAAAGTGGTCAAAAAATCATTTTCTAATGCTCCCGTCTTCCCATCAGACATTTGGCAAACAAAAAAACCCATCTTTACCACACCCCTCCAGGGTGCTCTTAATCCTGTGATTAATGGGAGGCTCCATAAGCCAATAAACCAATCACTTTCCAAAACCTTTTCCAATAAAATGAATTACAAATTTACATAACAAAACTAGGTCAGCATAGCACTGTGATCCATTGACAGCTGGAAAAGTTTCTTCTCTTGATCAGGTATTTGGGGTTCTGTGTCATAACCCAATACCACTTAAAGTACTAGTGGATCTGCCTGTGGTTTTATAAGCACTAAGTTGATCCTTTTTTTGGTTTGGTTTGGTTTTTTTGGTCATCAATATCTTAAAAGGCCATCCTGGGCTCCCAGGACTATTTCTTGCAGCAGTATACAGTGGCACCTTAAGGTTTTATAGTTTTATTTGCTAATAAAGTCTTGCAGTTCCCAGCATCAAAAGCTGGGCCACATAAGAGTTGGCAGAAGTACAGACAGTCTATACTTAAGTAGAAGTAGAAACACTACTGTTAAAAAAGTATTCCAGTAGAAGCTGAAGTACTGATTCAACTTCTTTACTCAAGTAAAAGTAAAAATGTACAAGATCTGAAATGTAGTTAAAGAAAGCAAAAAGTAGCTTCTTGGAGGACGTTTCTATTTCTGTGCAAAGCTAATTGAACCTTGTGCTATATTAACATAATAATAAAATAATATCAGTAGATATGGATGCAAACCAAAAATTCATATTATACCCAGCTAGAATCTGAAGAAAATTACATATCTATTGTCTCTTCCCTACATTGCAGAGAAGTGTTTCCCAACTTTCTGGAGCCTCGGCACATATTTCACATTAGAAAAATCACACAACGCGCCAGCAAAAGAAAAAAGTCACAAAAAGCATATTGATAATTTTTCCCTGTGCACCCCACATATCAGAATTGGTTTGCTTTGTCCCCAGTGTACACCATTTTTTTTTTCTTCTTTTACTTGTCTTTTTTCTGATCGCTACTCTGTGGGTCCTGGAGAAAATTCAGACCCAGATGAAGGCCCTAGCTTTTTTTTCCTCATATATTTGTCTATTGCTATTACACGCTGCATTGTCTCACTCGAATGTAATTGGTTGTAATGGCTAAGTGGGGGGAAATGAGTCATAATGCACATTAATTTCTGTTTTGAGAGCTCCAGTAGATTTTTATAGTTTCCAGGCAGTGATCAGCTGACCTCCTGCTCTTTGTGGATGTGTGGATTCACAACTGAATTCGAGCAGATGTTTCATGAGTTTTCCTGGCTGATTTCCATCTTTTACACTGACAGTACACTCTTTATGCCGTCTTTTTTTCTAGATGGTATAAAGTTGGCATGAAGGTGGAGTCTCAGCATCATCTGCTAAAAATTCTTATAAATCTCTGCTATACTTAATGTTACCTAACTCTGACCATGAAACCAAAGCCACTGCACCACTCACACACTGTTCTTTACTTTAATTCCATCACAATACAGCAAACTAACCTGTTTATGCTGCACTAAGCTACAGAGGATTTTCTTGAAACCTTTAAATAAGTCTTCCTCTGTTTGCAGCAGGTTTCACAATATTAGAAAAACACAATGGTACATGTACAGAGCCAATATCTGATTTAAAAACATGAGGATTTACGTGTAATCCTTCAATTTGCAGTTTGTCAAATCCAACTGAGCAATCCTTACCTTTAAATTTGACCTCTGTCCTGTCTTTTCTTATCT